ACTTCCCCAAATACCCTATCCCAAAATATTCTCTTTTTAAGCAGTTGTCATCACCCAACATGTATTTTATTTATTCATTTATGATATGTGTCCCTTTACAAGAGTGCATACTCCACAATAGCAGAAATTTTGTCTGTTTACTACTGTTTTCCCTCAGCATCTAGAATATTTCATGGCACATAGTAGGCACTTTTTAAAATGTTGAATGAATAAAAGACAGAGAAAATCACAATAGCAAAGATAAAGGCTTACGGCAAGAATAGAGATGGAGTTTACAGTAAATATAAGGCAAGTATTAAGAATTTTTAGGGCAAGAATATACAATGGAGAAAAGACAGTCTGTTCAATAAGTGGTGTTTGGAAAACTGGACAGCAACATGTAAATGAATGAAATTAGAACATTCCCTAATACACAAAAATAAACTCAAAATGGATTAAAGACCTAAATGTAAGGCCACAGACTACAAAACTCTTAGAGGAAAACATAGGCAGAACACTGACATAAATCACAGCAAGATCTTTTTTGATCCACCTCCTAGAGTAATGAAAATAAAAACAAAAATAAACAAATGGGACCTAATTAAACTTAAAAGCTTTTGCACAGCAAAGGAAACCATAAACAAAACAAAAAGACAACCCTCAGAATGGGAGAAAATATTTGCAAATGAAGCAACCGACAAGAAATTAATCTCCAAAATATACAAACAGCTCATGCAACTCAATTTCAAAAAAGAAACAACCCAGTCAAAAAATGGGTGGAAGACCTAAAAAACCTTTTTTCCAAAGAAGACATACACATGGCTAAAAAGCACATGAAAAGAAGCTCAACATCACTAATTAAGAGAAATGCAAATCAAAACTACCATGAGGTACATTCATTCAACAAGTGATATGCTCAGGGCCAGGGATCCAGCAGTGAATAAACAGACAACAATTTTAATCTCATAGAGCTTACATTCCATTGCGGGAGGAGGTAAGATAATAAACATCTCAAAAAAGTAAAATCTAGAGTTTGTCAGATAGTGATTGACTGACCAGGAGTGAAACAATTCAGGGAAAAAGGAATTGAAGTGTCAGTAGGAGTTGGGGTCATCAATGTACAATACAGTGGCTAGGCTAGAACCTAGGGGAAGATGGTATTTGAATAAAGACCTGAAGGAAGTGAGGGAGCAGTACATGATGATGTTGAGGAGGGGTGGGAGCATCCCAGGCAGAGGGACCAGCAGGGACAAAGAACTTGAAGTGGGAGTAGGTCTGGAGAGTCTGAGGTGGCCAGAGTGGAGTCAATGAGGAGGAGAAAAGCAAGAGATGAGGATGGAAGAGTAGGCAGGGGCAGACATGAAAGGCCTTGTGGACCACTGTCAGGACTTTGACTTTTCCATTGAGTGTGATGGGAAACTGCTGGAGAATTAGGAGCACAGCAACAGTATAATCAGACTTAGGCTTAACAGTATTATCTAGACCTCCAATGCCCCAAAGGTGAGCAACAGACCTTTGGAAATGTGGCTGATGAGATGGAGGGACTGATTTTTCATTTTATTTCATTTTAATTAAACTTAAAACTCATTTCTTGATTCAGTGATTGGAAAACTTGTAAGTGTGTTTGGAACAACTTGGGTATGTGAATCTATTTTTTTCAACTGTACATGTATGAGTTTTAAATATAGATCAGGTATTTCCAATAAAAATTTTACCCTCTGAGGGCTTCCCTGGTGGCACAGTGGTTGAGAATCTGCCTGCCAATGCAGGGGACATGGGTTCAAGCTCTGGTCTGGGAAGATCCCACATGCCGCAGAGCAACTAGGCCTGTGAGTCACAACTACTGAGCCTGCGTGTCTGGAGCCCGTGCTCTGCAACAAGAGAGGCTGCGATAGTGAGAGGCCCACGCACCATGATGAAGAGTGGCCCCTGCTTGCCGCAACTAGAGAAAGCCCTCGCACAGAAATGAAGACCCAACACAGTCAAAAATAAATAAATAAATAAATAAATTATAGTATCTTAAAAAAAAAAAAAATGTACCATCTGAAAGAAAAAAAAACAACAACCTACCGTGAGGTATCACTTCACACTGGTCAGAATGGCCATCAACAAAAAATCTACAAACAGTAAATGCTGGAGAGGGTGTGCAGAAAAAGGAACCCTCCTACATTGTTGGTGGGAATGTAAATTGGTACAGCCACTATGGAAAACAGTATAGAGGTTCTTTACAAAACTAAAAATAGAGCTACCATATGATCCACCACTCCTGGGCATATATCTGGAGAAAACCATAATTCAAAAAGATACATGCACCCCAATGTTCACTGCAGCACTATTTACAATAGCCAGGACATGGAAGTAACCTAAATGTCTATCCGCAGAGGAATGGATAAGAAAATGTGGTACATATATACAACAGAATATTCCTCAGCCAGAAAAAAGAATGAACTAATGCCATTTGCAGCAACATGGATGGACCTAGAGATTATCATACTGAGTGAAGTAAGGCAAACAGAGAAAGACAAATATCGTATGATATTGCTTATATGTGGAATCTAAAAAAAGGTACAAATGAACTTATCTACAAAACAGAAATAGAGTTACAGATGTAGAAAACAAACTTATGGTTACCAGGAGGTAAGGTGGGAGGAAGGGATAAAATGGGACATTGGGACTGACATATACAGACTACTATATATAAAATAGATAACTAATAAGGACCAACTACATAGCACAGGGAACTCTACTCAATACTCTGTAATGGCCTATATGGGAAAAGAATCTAAAAAACAGTGGATATATATATATATGTATGTGTAACTGATTCACTTTGCTGTATACCTGAAACTAACACAACATTGTAAATCAAGTAGACTCCAATAAAAATTTTAAAAATAATAATAATAATAGAATAAATAAAAGATGTTTTAGGAAAAAAATCTACATGTCACATCAAGATATACTCTTTAGGGGAATTCTGCGGTGGTCCAGTGGTTAGGACTCTGTGCTTTCACTGCCAAGGGCACAGGTTCAATCCCTGGCTGGAGAACTAAGATCCTGCAAGCCATGTGGCGTCACCATAAAGAAAGAAAGAAAGAAAGAAAGAGAAAAAGAAAGAAAGAAAGAAAGAAAGAAAGAAAGAAAGAAAGAAAGAAAGAAAGAAAGAAAGAAAGAGAAAAGAAAGAAAGAAAGAAAGAAAGAAAGAAAGAAAGAAAGAAAGAAAGAAAGAAAGAAAGAAATGTGAGAAAAATATATATACTCTTTAGTTCACTTAAGAGATCACCTAAAAATGTTTAAAAGGTTCTTCAAACCTCTCCCACCATCTGATATCTGACTTAGCTTAAAACTAAATGGAAGAAAGAACTAGCAGCCTTGTCTCTCTAGCCCAGGTTACTTTCTACAATGCAGTCCATACACTATCTCTCTACCCCATCCATATACTTTTTACCACTTTTTATATTTAGACAGAAAAGTAAATCTTGCAAGTTGAATAAACAGGGTATCATGGAAGAGCTGATAGTGGTGCAGTACATTCTGGAAGGTATATATAGTTGCAAAAGCAAAGTACTTTAGGCAGAGACCAAGAATAAAATAACTAGCAATACTGCATACTAGAAATAATAATAACGGCTAACATTTATTGAGCACTTTGCACTGTTTAAGCATTTTATATTTATTAACTACTTTAATTCTCAAAACAACACTAAGAGGAACTTTATTAACTAATAAACAGAGGGTCAGAGGTTACATAAATTATTCAAGGTCAAGCAGATAACAAATGAAAGTTTGAATTTGAGCACAGGGCTATCTATCTCTTCAGTCCAAGCTCTGAAGCTGTGTGGTATCAATTAAAATTTGAAAAATAGAGGCTATCCTGAAAAAGCAGGTAGACAGTATTTCCCAACAGATTCTTGGCAGAAACAAACAAACAACAAAGTAGACCTAATGGCAGATTAATGACAAAGACAAAAACAATTATTTTCGAAAATCAGATTATGTTGTTCATCAAAACGAAAAAAATTCCTACTTTACAATTAACATCAAAATATGCATAAAATAAAAACATGCCCTTTCACATATATACTACAACCTTAACAGAATGTTTTAAAATGTTTCTTTAGAAGAAATTTGAGAATTCTATTTATACATAAATACTACACTGCTATTCTTAAGCACTATGCTTTCAGCATAGCCCTCCATCAGTATTTTCTATTATGAACATGGCTATATATCATTCTTGATTCAATTTCCTGGTTGTTCCAAACAGAAGAGAAGGTTAGTCTCAAGATCACACTTTAATTGAAATGAGAATTAACCATAAATGCCAAGTAAATATATATCTTTTAAAATATATTATCTTTCAAAAAGCTTGAAGAACTTTTCAAAGCTCAAAGAACTGAGAATCTAGTTACTACTTATATAAAGAAATGGTATGAGACACATATAACTTGTTCAAATAAAAAATGGCTCCTGGGACTTCCCTGGTGGTCCAGTGGTTAAGAATCCACCTTCCAATGCAGGGGACACAGGTTCGATCCCTGGTCAGGAAACTAGGATCCCACATGCCACAGGGCAACTAAGGCCGTGCCACAACTACTGAGCCTGCATGCTCTAGAGCCCACGCACCACAACTAGAGAGTCCACATGCCTCAACTACTGAGGCTGCACACTCTGGAGCCTACGTGCCGCAACTAGACAGCCCATGCACCACAACTACCTAGCCCGCGTGCTCTGGAGCCCGTGCGCCACAAGTAGAGAGAAGCCCATGTGCTACAACAAAAAGACCCCACATGCAACAACCAAAAGACCTTGCATGCTGCAATGAAGATCCCATGTGCCACAACTAAGACCCAACGCAGCCAAATAAATAAATAAATAAAAATTTAAAAATTAAAAAATTAAAAAAAAATTTTTAATTGGTTCCAAAAACTGAAAAGACAATTTGTTTCCCTCTCCACCCCCCACCATTAAAGTAATAACAATAAATTGATAAAATCATATAAAATGAGTAAGATATTTACATTTCTTTGTCTTTTCAGCAGATCTGGCACAAGTTTCTTTGAGTAGATTACATAAATGCCTTGTAGCATTATTCCTGAAACAGAGGAAAGAGTTTGCATAAGTATAATCTATCTCAAAGCAAAATCATATATAAAAGTTAAGAAACATTACTGTTATAATTTTAAAGAAATTCTTAAAACATCATAATATTTAATATATATCACATATCATTCGTAAGTGACTATGAAGGAAAAATTGGTTGACTGTACTATTAGCAAAGATGATTTAATAACTGCCTCCTTTTAAAGTGAAAAGCTCCTTAAAAAGTTTCCACCCAAGTAGCTTTCAATAACCTTTTAGTAAACAGTTCCAGATTCACCTAAGAAATAAAATGAGAAGAGAGGATTGGGATTTTCATTACTAATTACCCCAGAAATATTCTAGCTATCTTACCTTCAAAACATAAAATAATTTTCTGAAAAGTCATTAATTACGTGAATAAGACCTCTGATCACATCACAGATGCAGAAAAAGCTTTTGACAAAATTCAAAATCCATCTATGATAAAAATTTTCAACAGAGTGGGTACAGAGGGAACCTACATCAACATAATAAAGGCCATATATAACAAGCCCACAGCTAACATCATCCTCAAACATGAAAAGCTGAAAGTTTGTCCTCTAAGATCAGGAACAAGACAAGGATGCCCATTCTTGCCACTGGTATTCAACATAGTATTGGAAGTCCTAGCCACAGCAATAGACAAGAAAATAAAAGGCACTTGAATCAGAAAGAACAAAGTAAAACTGTCACGATTTGCAGATGACATGCTATTATATATAGAAAACCCTAAAGCCTCCACCGAAAAACTGTTAGAACTAATAAATAAATTCAGTAAAGTTACAGGATACAAAACCAACATACAAAAATCAGTTGTATTTCTGTACACTAATAATGAACTATCAGAAGAGAAATTAAGAATATAATTCCATTTACAATTGCATCAAAAAGAATAACACGCTTAGGAATACATTTAACCAAGGAGGTAAAAGAACTGCACACTGAAAACTATAACACACTGATGAAAGAAACTGAAGAAGAAACAAATGGAAAAATCTTCTGTGTCCATGAATTAGAAGAATTAATATTGTTAAAATGTCCACACTACCTAAATGGAGTCTGGTACCAATTCCAAATTTGGAGGGGGGTTCCTCGCACCAACAAGCAATTCTGAGCACCACAGCTGAGTGTCCTACAATTCAATTCTGACACCATCTACCTGGATATAGCATCAGACTTCATAAGTTAAGGGTTCAGTCCTATAAGACTGCTACCCTCCCCTTATTCCAACAACTTCAGATGCTTGTTGCAAGCCCAGGTTGTTACCTGTGGTTCTGTCCAACTGGCTATAAATCAGAGGTTCCCATGACCTCCTCCTTGGGTTCCATTAATTTTCTAGAATGACTCAGAGAACTCAGAGAAACAATTTACTTACTAGAGTACTGGTTTATCATAAAAGGATATAACTCAGGAACAGCCAAGTGGGAAAGATGCACAGGGCAAGGTATGAGGAAAGAGTGCAGAGCTCCCATGCTCTCTACAGTCTGCCACTCTCCCGAATCCCCACATATTCACCAACCCAGAAGCTCCCCAAACCCAGGGCAAGGTATGAGGAAAGAGTGAGAATCTTTCATGCTCTCTCCGAGCTCATCATTCTCCCCAAATCTCCACATGTTCACCAACCAGGAACCTCTCAAACCCTGACCTCTCAGGTTTTTACAGAGGCTTCATTAGATAATCATGACTGATTAAATCTTTAGCCATTGGCAACTGATTCAACCTCCAGGCCCTTGCCTGTCCCCAGAGGTTGGAAGTTCCAATCCTCTAACCATGTGGTTGGCTCTCCAGGCAACCGGCCCCTATCCTTAGGTGGGGTCCAAAAGTCACCCCATTAGCATAACAATACACCTTTTCACTCTCAACATTTAGGAAATTCCAAGGGTTTGAAGAGTTGTGAGTCAGGAAAGATGGATGAAAACTAAATATATACGTGAAATACATTTTGGTCATCTGAATGACCAAATTTTTTTTTTTCTTATAAATCACAATACCACACTATTGAAAGCAATCTACAGATTCAGTGCAATCCCACTCAAATTTCCAAGGGCATTTTTCACAGAAACAGAACAAACAATACCAAAATTTGTATGGCATCACCAAAAACCCCAATTAGCCAAAGTAATCTTGAGAAAGGAGACCAAAGCTGGAGGCATCACACTTCCTGATTTGAAACTACATTATAAAGCTATAGTAATCAAAATGGCATAAAACCAGACACATAAATCAATAGAACAGAATAGACAGCCCAGAAATAAACCCACAGATATACAGTCAATTAATTCATGACAAAGAAACCAAAAACATATAGAATGAGGAAAGGACAGTCTCTTCAATACATGGTGTTGGGGAAACTAGACAGCCACATGCAAAAGAACAAAACTGGACCACTACCTTACACCATACACAAAAATAAAGTCAAAAGGGATCAAAGACTTGAACCTAAGACCTGAAATCATAAAACTCCTAGAAGACAACATAGGCAGTAAGCTCCTTGATATAGGTGATGATTTTCTGGATTTAACACCAAAAGCAAAGGTAACAAAAGGAAAAATAAACAAGTGGGCTACATCAAATTAAAAAGCTTCTGCACAGCAAAAGAAACCATAAACAAAATTAAAAGGCAACCTACTAAATGAGAGAAAATATTTGCAAATCATATATATGATAAGGGGTTAATATCCAAAGTATATAAAGAAGTCATGCAACTCAATAGCAAAAAACAATCTGATTTTAATGTGGGCAGAGGATCTGGACAGAGATTTTTCCAGAGAAGACATATAGATGGTCAACAGGTACATGAAAAGGTGCCCAACATCACTAACTCCCAGGGAAATGCAAATCAAAATCACAATGAGATACTACCTCACACCTATCAAAATGATTATTATTAAAAAGATGAGATAACAAGTGTTGGTGAGGATGTGGAGAAAAGGGAACCCTTATGCCCTACTGGTGGGAATATAAATTGGTTCAGCCACTATGAAAAACAGTTTGGTGGCTCCTCAAAAAATTAAAAATAAAACCATATGATCTAGCAATTCTACTTCTTGGGATTTATCCAAAGGAAACAAGAATACTAACTTGAAAAGGCATATGCATCCCCATATTCAATGCAGCATTATTTACAACAGTCAAGACATGGAAACAACCTAACTATCAACAGACAGATAAAGTGTGGAATATATATACACCCATAAAAATGAAGGAAATCCTGTCATTTACAACATTATGAATGGAACTTGAGAGCACTATGCTATATGAAATAACTCAGACAAAGAAAGAGAAATACCATATGGTCTCATTTATATGTGAAATCTTAAAAAAAAAATTAAAAACAAACTTATAGATACAGACAACAGATTGATGTGCCAGAGACAGAGGTGGGAGGTGGGCAAAATGAGTGAAGGGAGTTAAAAGGTACAAACTTCCAGTCATAAAATAAATCCCGGGGATGTAATATACCGCATGATGAATATAGTTAATAATATTGTATATTTGAAAGTTGCTAAGAGAGTAGATCTTGAGGGTTCTTGTCAAAACAAAAAATCTGTAATTATATGTGGTAATGGATATTAACTAGACTTATTGTGGTGATAATTTTGCAATATATACATATAACAATTATACACTTAAAAATAATATAATGTTATATGTCAACTATATCTCAACCAAAAAAAATTTTAAAGGTCAATATAATGTAGTCATATCTTCCAAATCTCATTAAATGGTATTGAAAGTTAAAAAAGAAAAAAGACCCCTGGGTGTCTTGAAGTTGCTAACATATACACCAGTTTAAATTTTCCAATGTATAATTTTTCTGCAGAAATGAATTGTTACAGATTAACATTTTATAATAATTTTTAAGTCTAAATATTAGTTTAATGAAGAGCAAAAGCTGTAATATTACATAAACTACATCCTTTAACATTTTCAATAATCTAATAAATGAAAAGGTTAAGAAGTCACTGAAATCAAAGGTGGTTTTGTTTTGTTTTCAAAGCCTGTGACTTCTCTCTACCACAAATCAGTAGTTCTCAAAGTATGATCCTTGCACCAGCAGCATCCACATCACTTGTTAGAAGTACAAATTCTTAAGTCTGCTCCACTGAATCAGAAACTCTGGCAGGGGAGGAGAGGCCAACGACATTTAAGAAGCTATGCAGGTAATTCTGAAGCTTGCTAAAGTTTAAGAACCACTGTTCTAGACAGAGGAACTTTTTATTGTTACTGATTTTGTAAAAAATCAAAACAAGTAACTACAAACCTAATTCTTGGACTTCCCTGGTGGTACAGTGGTTAAGAATCTGCTTGCCAATGCAGGTAACACGGGTTGGAGCCCTGGTCCGGGAAGATCCCACATGCTGTGGAGCAACTAAGCCTGTGTGCCACAACTACTGAGCCTGCGCTCTAGAACCCGCAAGCCACAACTACTGAAGCCCATGCGCCTAGAGCCCATGCTCTGCAACAAGAGAAACCACCGCAATGAGAAGCCCGCGCACCGCAACAAAGAGTAGCCCCCAGCTCACCACAACTAGAGAAAGCCCACGCGCAGCAACGAAGACCCAACACAGCCAAAATTAAATAAATAAAATTAATTAATTAATTTAAAAAAAAGGATGATACTAAAGTTTTAAGCCAAAGTTAATGCAAGAATGATTGGGCCACTGGCAAAAACAGGAATTTGACAGTGAGAATTAGCTTGGAACTAAGTTGAGCCCTCTTCTGCAAGGGTTTCACCTAAAACAATAGTCGAACAAAAAGGTATACAATATACATAGGCAGTTGTAGATATAAGATTATCAGGTACCTTTATCAACACTAAGTAATGGCTTCCCCTGCCTGTCATTTTAAAAAGTGAGAAGTTATTAGTCAGTGACCACAGTTTGCCAAATGCAAGAATGTAAAATAGGTATGTCTTCCTTTTCTCCACAGCACCCAGATAGAATTCTATATATCAATTAATATACAACAGAAAGAGCTCATTCAATTTTTGGAAATTATTTTAATAATTAGTTTGGAATAAAAAATAAATTTGTACAGAACAAATTCATTAAATTATTACTTACTCTTTTATTAAATCTTTATTTTCTTGAATTCCTTCTTCTAATTTCAAACTTACTTTTTCATTTTCAAACTAATTTATAAGACAGAAGAACAGTTCATCACATTTTACTTAGCAAAATAAACATGAGTATATTCATTAAGCAGCATTTCTTTGCTAACATGCTATGATGGTCAATAAGAATTATTTTCTTTGAACACAAAAAAGAACTTTTTTTGTCACACTCATGGATATCCTATAAGAATATGGGTCTCACTTTCATCAGTCTAAAATTAGGTTTGCTGAATTATCTCCAAAATGTATCCAACAATATTTTAATGTGATATTATCTTCCCTAAACATTTTGAAATGATGTTTTATCTTTCTCCTAACCCAATGTTGCATTTTCTCAAAATGTTTCTTTCACTATGCCATAAAATTGAAGAGAAACAGTTTCAAATTTAAAGTTTTATCTACAATGTCATTTTCTAATATAATAAAAAAAGACATATCAAACAAAACATCATCAGTAACAGGAACCAATAAAAAGTAAAATTCTATAATTAGAATAATTAAATCAATCTTTATCTAAAGTAAATTACTATTTCCCTAGTCATTTTTTTTTTTTTTTTTTTGGGCCTCTCACTGTCGTGGCCTCTCCCATTTGCGGAGCACAGGCTCCGGACGCGCAGGCCCAGCGGCCATGGCTCACGGGCCCAGCCGCTCCGCGGCATGTGGGATCCTCCCGAAACGGGGCACGAACCCGCGTCTCCTGCATCGGCAGGCGGACTCTCAAGCACTGCGCCACCAGGGAAGCCCTTCCCTAGTCATTTGCATTAAGTTTCGTGCAGCCTGTCTTCTGCTCATCCTAAAGTTGAAATGCAACTAATATTAATGAAACTTCAAAAAACACAATTCTTAAAATCCACATCACAGAAACAAGATAAATCCAACTTACTCTGAAATAATACTCTAGTTTTAATAGTGTTATAAGATTTACTATACTATATTTTCAATTACAAATTTCATTATACCTGTAGTTCTTGAATGGCTTTCCGCTGTGCTTCAATTATTTTTCTATTTTCTTGTAACTTGTTTTCTTTCTGCTTCAGTTCAGATTCTACACTCACTTTCCACTTCTTGATCTTTTCAGCCTCCTTATACAGTTTTGAATATAGTCTGCTCATTGGCTCTGAATTCTATTATAAAATAGGTTTTCAAAGACTGTTAATAGTTCAAAATTTTAGTATAACCAAACTACAGCTGCCTATTGAAAATATCCAAGAGTATCTTAGTAGTTGAGACCAAATCTCTCCTCAATGTATGCCCTAATACCATGCTGAAAGCTATATTAACTTTTTTCTAACTACTAAGGCAATATTAGCTACTTTACTAAGGTTACTGGTCACCTGACTAAGTTATTCCTTGATGAATAAAATCAAATAACTTCAAAATGTGCCTAAGCCAGAAGTTAGAAATCTTTAAGTCAATGAGAGAATCTGGCTGCTTAAAAGCTAAAATAAATCACTCTACATGAAATGTGTCAATTTTAGCAATGGTCTTGAAATATTTTGGTTATACAAACAGCTTAAGGATTAGCCAAAGGATATGAAGTTTAAGGTACAATGACGAGAAAAATAATAGTGAACACAAGATCTTTCATTTAGCCTGAGGTTTTATTTGGATTTTATTTGGATTTCCTGCATCATCCCTTTCCACATTATAAGGTAAATGTCAGAGGTTTTATTTTTTTTTTAATCATGCTACTTTCTCCTTGCTGATAGCTCTGTTATCAAAATATATGAATAAATTCTGTATTTCTAAATTTGTGATACCATAATCCCAGCAACAAACAGATAGCACTTTACCAGGCCATGGAATTTCTCTTTGCTTTAAAGACATCTATGTGCCATAAGAAAGAATGATTTTTATAACTAAAATCAAAAGTACAGTATATCCTACAAATTCCTTAGACAGTAAACCAGCCAAACAATCATACCTATTAGTTAATTCAAGAATTGTTTGTAAAATACTGGCTTAATTCTCAACCTTTTCACACATTGCATTCATCTCCCCTTCCTATTCTTGATTTTTATGGTTTAAAGTTAAATTGCCCCTTAAGAATTCATGCTTTTATAACTCAGGAAAATACAGAGGCCTAGTGTTTCAGCAAATTCAAAAGAAAAGCAAAGTGGCGAAAAGGTTTTAAAGAATATAACTTAAAACCTTAACTAAATATTAATCCTTTTGAAGCTTCAAAAGAAAGATAAATACAAGTAATAATAAATGATACTCCAATTACAAGAAATTTAATATAGACAGGAAATCTTCTGACCTCAAAATCAGAGTCTTTTAGTCCCTCCTGGTAATGACAACTGTCAGAATTATCAACCTAAAAAATGAATAAATTTTTCCTATGAGAAAATACTCCTGATGATAGTTTCCAAATAGCAGCAATTAAATACTGAAGACTAGTAATCCAACAACTAAAGATTATTTTTCTTTTTCAAGCAAGCAATTCAATATCTAAACAGGTTATATCTATATACACTATACTTAACTGACCTGTTCAAGCATGGGCAAAAAGTCAACTTTTTGTAAAGCAGGATCTGCAAGATAAAAGGCAACTGGAATTAAACATGCCAACATCCTGTTTTATATATTAAGTATTATATCTAGCTTTAATGTCAAGGCTATCAATATAATACTCTTATTTGATATCTAGCAATGTGTATTTTAAAAATGCTTCTATGTAAGGTGATACATTGCTTTTCTAGTCTCCTACCTGAATCAATGTTTTTCCCATTTTTGGAGAAATTAGTCATTGCAAATGGAAAACCAAAATCATCTTCAACACATTTGTTGAAACCCTAGAAACACAAAGAAGTTCTTAAACACACTGTCCCATACGACTCTAATAACTAGCAGTGTAATATGTAATTACGTATACAGTATACATCTACTTAAAAAAGTGACTATAATTGTAAATCCTTTAATGTATACATAGTGTTAAAAATATCAAATGATTTTTGCCCTGTAAACAAAGCAAAAATTTTTAATTTTCACTTATAAGAGAAAGCTAAACTAAAATTACATGATACATGTTTTGTAAGTACTCAGGAATAATTTTAGTGATTTTAATTAGTAGCTTAGAATATTGGTTTTCTTCAATTTCATTATGATCTTTCCCCTGGTAGAAATGAGAATTTTCTTCACTGAATAGCATTTTAATATTATACTCTTTGGCTATAGAGACATAAGAATTTTTCTACAACATAGAAAATTAAAATATTCATTGCTTCATCCTATTTCCAACATAAAGTTCCACATACGAAATTTATTTTTTTAATGTAATTTTTTTTTTTTTTTTGCCCACACTGTGCATAATGTGGGTTCTTAGTTCCCTGACCAGGGACTGAACGCATGCCCCCTGCAGTGATAAGTGCGGAGTCAACCACTGGACTGCTAGGGAAGTCCCCACATGAGAAATTTAAATAAATTACTAAAAAAAGCTCTATTCCTCCTTTCCTATAACAACCTACTACACGTACAAACTTCCCGTTTATCCTGTCAACCCAGAAGCTCAGAGTCAAATTTTAACCTCAAACACTGATTTTTACCAGTATGTCAACACATTTGTCCAAATTTTCTTAATTTTCCTTGATCCTAATGTTCTTCTAATTTATATTTTACTATTTCATTGTATATGTTCATAAGTTGCTTTAAATCATTTAAAGAAAGAGGATTAAAGTAAGCAGGTTCCATTATGTATGCAGAATTCCAAAGCACCAGTAATTATTTCTTTAAATGAATGATGCCTAAACACATTAAGTGTGCTCATTATTCATTCAAAGCAATGCTATTCAAAATTCTTGGGTAAATCAGACCATATTTACTGAAAAAAATTATAAGATATCACCAGTAAGAAAGTTCACTTTGCCTCATTTACCTAATGAGTAAATGCAAATTTACCTTGAAGAAATTAGAATCTCCTCCCAAAGTCTGAGGTTTCACTGCAGATACTTGACTGCTACTTAATCTCGGTGGTACAAACAATTTAAAGGGCTTCTGCTTTTCCATTTTCTCTTCCAGTCGTAATTATCTATTGCTCAAGATGGGGGAGAAAGTGTTTTACATTGTTTCATTAATGCACTACTTATTCTATAATAAATGGGTATATAAAGGAATGCGTGAAACATTTGCTACCATGGAAGCCTACGGTGTTCCTTACTGCCGTGGTGTTCAAAGCAGAAACATTCCCTATTTGTCCCCACCATCCCCCCACCACCAGTGGCCACGCTGGCGACGTCAATGGATAATCGAGAAACTCGAACTAGGCATCATCGCCGGGACAGCCTGAGAAGAAGCCCGTTACCTCCACCAGCCCAGTTAAATTGCGTCACCTCGCCGGGAAGAACTAGTTGAGGTGCTTAAGACGACTACGGAGAAGGCGCCGGGGGCTGCCGGCGTGTGGGAGGGCCAGTAACAAAACGTCGCCCAGCTGTGGGTTCAATCCTCAGGGAGGGAACTCGGCACACCTGCCCTTACCTTTAAAAAACTAGCGGGAAACCGCGGGCTCCGTGCTCACGCGAACCGCCACCCGCTGTCTATTACGGCAGCAGAAAGAACCAACACGAACTTCTGCCTCCGAACCTCGGAAAAGGCGGGATATCGTTCCAGCCGAGCGGCCAGGAGGGAGGCGCAGGGCGGTTGGAGGTTTAACGGCTAAATAACGGTCGGCGACCTCCGTTGGCACGGGGCGTAAGACCTACATCTCGCGAGATTTCCCTTTACCTTAGTAGCAATTCTTCCCAGGATACTCTTTCTCCTTAGAATTGGCCTTCTTTAAGCTTCTCCTATTGTTAAAGAATGTGAGGAAAACTATCAGGTGCTGTGATAGAATGGAGCTGAGAGTGAAAAATCTATTTCTGTCCTCTAAGAAGAGCTCACAGTCTTAGAGAAGAAACAAGTGCAAACATAATTATAAGCCCCTGTAATCATTTAATGGTAGTAATTTTCTAAGGGTTGCTGGGACCCTTAGAAAGGGACAGTGGCCTTTACAGTGGCTTGGGAGTCAGGAGAGAGCTTCACGGATGTGGTACACTTTTGTTACTGCTTCCGTAGAAAACAGAAAGGTGAATAGAGCGTTGGCTAGATAGTGAATGCGGGAAGGTGTGGCTAGATAGTGAATGCGGGAAGGGGTGTTCCCGGCTGAGGGACGGTAGGCAAAGGCACTGGAGTCGTGAGAGACATGAGTCCAAGAGTGAGTGAGGGGGCTTCCCTGGTGGCGCAGTGGTTGAGAGTCCGCCTGCCGACCAGTTCGTGCCCCGGTCCAGGAAGATCCCACATGCTGTGGAGCGGCTGGGCCCGTGAGCCATGGCCGCTGAGCCTGCAAGTTTGGAGCCTGTGCTCCGCAACAGGAGAGGCCACAACAATGAGAGGCCCGTGTACCGCAAAAAATAAAATAAATAAAAAGAGTGAGTGAGTCCAGGCAATGCGATGTAGGTGTGTGAGGACGCAAATGGGAAAATGATGAGACTGGAGACTTAGCAGATGTGAAGGCCTCTCGAAGGCTTTTGGATTTTAGCCTTTATGGATGGGAATCTTGAGGAAGTTTGAGCGGAAAGGGGGGCATGATCAAGTTCAGAAGAAAAATTGTAGTATGAAAAATGGTTTAGGTTTATAAGACTGGAGTTAGGGAGACAGTTTTAATAGCCTGGGTGAGTAAGGTATGAGACCTGAGCTATGACAGTGCCAGTAAAGATGAAGAAAATGTGTCAAATGTAAAAGATATTTAGGAAGAAAAATTAATAGGATTTGATGGCTTTTTTAAAGTGAGCAGCAAAAGAGAGAAGTCTAAGATGACTGCCTGGTTTCAGACTTGGGCTACTAGATACAATAAATATTGTGGGTGCTAGGTACCTAGGTTTGAGCAATAAGACAATGAGTTCTGTTTTCAACATATTGACTTTGTTTTCTAACTTTCTCCATGTACTACAATATAATTGATGCTTTTCCAAAGGACTTTAGTAATATTTTTAAGCAACTCGTTTTGTATAAATTTAACCTACCAGACGGAACAGTTTCTGATAAAATTACATTTTGAGCTAGAAAGGATGATCCAGTGTAAGGCTTTCATTTTACATGAAACAGTCTAAATACCCTAAAAAAGATAAAATACTCCCTTCAAGAGATGATACCAAGAATAAATGCACAAGATAACCCCTGGGGGGGAATAATTGATACATTTAATTAATATATTTTATAAGTTGAGGGTATAAATTCAATTTTCCAATTTTTTTAAGTTTTAACAACAGTGAAATATTCAACTATGGTCTTTTTTCTGTATTGAAAACAAAATGCTATTCCTAGTATTAAATGAACTTAAAATCACAGTATTTTATTTAATCAGATCCAGTCTTTCAAAACAATTGTGCTTCCATAGAATTTCTCACTTTCATGTATTTCACATGAAAAATTGTTAACATTAATCTTATTCTTACAAGGATTAAAATATTTGTGGTAAGATTTCAGGTTTTAAGAACTTTATTTTTTTCTACAAAAGGTGTTGGCAAAAATGTCAAAATATTGTCTACCAGAATGAGCATTAAATTGTGCTGAATTTCCCAATGTATGTTAACATATTTTGTCATTTAAATTTTTTCAGTATCTTGCCATGACAAAATTTTTAATTGGGGCTTATAAAAGATCTCTTTTTTAAAGACATTAAGGGACTTCCCAGGTGGTCCAGTGGTTAAGACTTCACCTTCCAATGCAGGGGGTGTGGGTTTGATCTCTGGTTGGGGAGCTAAGATCCCACATGCCTCGGGGCCAAAAAACCAAAAAAACATAAAACACAAGCAATATTGTAACAAACTCAATAAAGACTTTAAAAATGGTCCACATCAAAAAAAAAAATCTTAAAAAAAAAGACATTAAGGAAAACTAAGAATTGAACGAAGCTTTGTTCCTCTTTAATAATTTATAAAATGCTATAACAGAAATAAGTTTAAAATGTTAGTTCCTTATCCAACAATCTAGCCTTAAAGAGGTTCATAACTGCTTTTATTCTGATTACAACTGTTTCCACTAAATAATCTCTTTTATGTCTTCAAATAATATATATATTTTCATTCAATTTTCTACTAAATGAAAAAAAGGAGAGTTTCTTCAGGTAAGAACTCTATTTAGTACTACTCCTTTCTGAACGAACCATGCAGTAACAATAACCATTGCTTCTTTGGGGACGAATCTTAAAAAGAACACTAGATGTCCCTCTAGTGGTGGTCCTATATTCCACAAAATTTGATGAGCCCTTGATGATGTCCATTTTATGGCGATATATTCGTAACAGCAATTCTGTTCATGTTTTTCAAATCAGTATCCTGTGATCATAGCGTAAGCAATCTAGATTTAGGAAGTTTAAGACAAACCACAACATTCTAAAATTTCATCAAAGTGAATACAAATTCCGTTTCTCAGAGAGTAAACTAGCCAATTTGGAGTCCTTTGTTTTCCAAATGCTAAGTATTTCTGAGTAGTTGTGATTCAGTGTTCTCAGTTCAGTGAGCCTCCCTATGAGATGAGCAAAATGCTGTAGGTCTTCTGGATGATAAATTTTTGAATATTTGTACAAAATTTGTAAAACTGGTTCTTGTAAATTTTCCACATGTTGCTTATTTGTAACGCATGGACGATCTGAAAAACATTATCACATATATCTTAATGAATATTGGAAAATGGTAGAAGATAATGAATTAATTTAAAACAATACAGTTTTAAATAATAAAAATAGCAAATATTTACTGAACCTTTAATATATGCCAGATTTTATGCCAGGTAACTTGCTTCTATGCAATGTTTTATTTAATCTTCATAATACTCTATGAAGAGTATTTCTTAATGATCAGATGGCATTCACTCATCCAGTCATTGTGCTGGAGATACAGCAGTGAACAGAGACTAAATTTCCTGCCCTCATTGAGCTTATTTTTTGAGTCTGGGAGGAGTAGGGGAGGAAAGAGACATATACACATTTTTAAAATAAAAATATATGACAACAATAAGTGAGAGTACAGGATAAGAATTTGGGGGGGGGGCATTAGCTATTTTTAAAAGGGTAATCAGAGATAAGATGACATTTAGCAGAGATCCAGGATGGTGAAGAGGGAGCCATGAAACTATCTAGGAAAGAGCTTTCCAAGCAGATTTGTCAAGTACAGTAGAAGCTGTGGAAGGAGTCTGCTTGAAATTTACAGGCAACATATGCATCAAAGGCAGTGTGGCTGAGGTGGTGTGAGCAAAAGGAATACTAATAGACACTGATAGAAAGAACTTTGGCTTTAAACTGTGTAAAATAGAAAGCCATTACAGGGTTATGAGCAGAGGAATGACATAATCTGGCTTATGTTGTCAAAGAATCACTCTGGCTACTGTATAAAAAATAGACCCTAGGGAGGCAAGGGCAAAAACAGGAAAGTGAGTTAGTAGTTTTATTAGGATGGCAGGGACAGAGACAGTAAGAAGTGGTTGAGTTCTGGATCTATTTTGAGGCTATAGCCAACAAGACTTGTTGCATATTTGATAATGGGCATAAGAGAAAAAGAAGTGAAGGATGACTTCAAGAATTTTGGCTTATACAACTTGAAATATGGAGATGCCATTTAGTAGAGATGGAGGAAGAATATAGGAGAATCAGGGGGCAATCAGGAGTTCACATTCAGACATGTTAAATTTTATGTGCCTACTAAACATCCAGATTGAAATCTTGAGTAGGCTATTTAATGGAGCTTAGGGTCCAGTCCAGGTTGGTATATAATTTGGGAGTTGTCAGCCTCTAGATGGCATTTAAAGCCATGAGATAGATGAAATTTCAAAGGAAGTGCACATAGGAAAAAAGAGAACTGAGTCCTGGGATATTTTAACTTTTATCAGTGTGGGAGATGAGGGGGAATTAACAAAGGAGAAAGAGCAGCAACTGAGGAGGAAAACCAAGAGAGTGAAATGTCCTGGAAATCAAGTGGAAAAAAATCATGTCAAGAAGGAGGGAGTGATCAACTGAAGCTAAATGTTAAGTGTTCTAAGAAAGAGGGAGTGATCTGCTCTGTCAAATGTAGCTCACGGGTCAAGTAAGATGAAGACTAAGAATTGACCACTGGAATCTGCAATGCCAAATTACTGAAGATTTTGATAAGTTATGGTGGAAGGGAAAGGAGGGGACAAAATCTGACTGTACTGGGTTCAGAAGTAAATGAGAAGAGAGAAATGGAGGCAGGAGTATAGACAACTCTTAAATTTTTTTTTTTTTTTTTGCTATAATGTAGAACAGAGAAATAGGAGAATAGCTGAAAGGGGATTTGAGGTAAGGGCAGACACTATAAAACTCTTAGAGGAAAACATAGGCAGAACACTCTATGACATAAATCACAGCAAGGACGAAGTGAGAGAGTGGCATAGACATATATATATACACTACCAAGTGTAAAATAAGATAGCTAGTGGGAAGCAGCCACATAGCACAGGGAGATCAGCTGGGTGCCTTGTGACCTCCTAGAGGGGTGGGATAGGGAGGGTGGGAAGGAGATGCAAGAGGGACAGGATATGGGGATATACGTATATGTATATGTATGGTGCAACAAGAAAACTAGCTCTGCAAAAGAATGTGATTTGTGACAAATGTGAAGGCCAAGGTGGTAAGGAAGGAGCAGTAGAGTGCTGTCCCAATTGCCGAGGTACTGGAATGCAAATAAGAATTCATCAGATAGGACCTGGAATGGTTCAGCAAATTCAGTCTGTCTGCATGGAGTGCCAGGGCCATGGGGAGCGGATCAGTCCTAAAGATAGATGTAAAAGCTGCAATGGAAGGAAGATAGTTCGAGAGAAGAAAATTCTAGAAGTTCATATTGACAAAGGCATGAAAGATGGCCAGAAGATAACATTCCATGGTGAAGGAGACCAAGAACCAGGACTGGAGCCAGGAGATATTATCATCGTTTTAGATCAGAAGGACCATGCTGTTTTTACTCGACGAGGAGAAGACCTTTTCATGTGTATGGACATACATCTGGTTGAGGCATTGTGTGGCTTCCAAAAGCCAATATCTACTCTTGACAACCAAACCATAGTCATCACTTCTCATCCTGGTCAGATTGTCAAGCATGGAGATATCAAGTGTGTGCTAAATGAAGGCATGCCAATTTATCGTACACCGTATGAAAAGGGTCACCTAATCATTGAATTTAAGGTAAACTTTCCTGAGAATGGCTTTCTCTCCCCGGATAAACTCTCTTTGCTGGAAAAACTCCTACCTGAGAGGAAGGAAGTAGAAGAGACTGATGAAATGGACCAGGCAGAACTAGTGGACTTTGATCCAAATCAGGAAAGACGGCGCCATTACAATGGAGAAGCATATGAGGATGATGAACATCATCCTCGGGGTGGTGTTCAGTGTCAGACCTCCTAATGGGGCCAGTGAATAACACTCACTGCTGGCATTTTATTTGCAGTAGTGATTGAGTGAAAGACTATAATCATAATATGCTCACTACTTGCTATTTTTTGTTTTAATATTCAACTATAGTAGTGTTTTAAAAGTTAAATGAAGAATAAACTCAAATATAAAAAAGAAAAAAATAGGGCTTCCCTGGTGGCGCAGTGCTTGAGAGTCCGCCTGCCGATGCAGGAGACGCGGGTTCGTGCCCCGTTTCGGGAAGATCCCACATGCCGCGGAGCGGCTGGGCCCGTGAGCCATGGCCACTGAGCCTGCGCGTCCGGAGCCTGTGCTCCGCAAATGGGAGAGGCCACGACAGTGAGAGGCCCGCATAACGCAAGAAAAAAAAAAAAGAAAAAGAAAAAAATAACTTTGTTATAAAGCAGAAACCAACACACCATTGTAAAGCAATTATACTCCAATAAAGATGTTTAAAAAAAAAAGGCATTTTTTTAAGATGCAAGAAATTACAGCATGTTTGTAAGCTGAAGGGAATGCCCTTATAGAGAAGGCTATTTTGATGAAAACTGGTACATTTGGAATAATGAGTAATAAAATAATCACAATCTTCATGATTTCATTGCCAAACTTAATCCAAATTTTTACTGCTAAATAGTTTTTTACCTGAAAAAAACACTGTTGTGGCTGCAAGCAGAGCATATTCAGTATTAGTAATACTAAGCTCACTCATTCTTCTACAGAAGTAATACAGTGTAGTAATAAATTCTTCAGAAATACCTAAAAAGATTAATATCAAATGTATTTTCATCAGAACACAGTGCAGACTCATATTGCCATTATCATATTTTCTCAAAGCAGTACAAGAAAATGAAACATGTCTGACAAATTTTTTCCATCCAATACAATATTTTGTATTATATATAATATTACCAGTCAGCATAGCAGAAGGACAATCTTCATTGCAAAATGTTTCCATAGGATAAATAGCACTTCTATCACCACTTTGATCATGACAATTCAGTGAATGATCTGAATGATCTGATATTTTCATAGTACCTAGTTAAGGGAAAAAATATAAAGTATGATTTTTAAAAATCTTTATTCAGATAGTAAAGTCAATCTCTCTAACGTCTGTTAAACAGGAAACATTCCCAACAAATGGTATCTTTATAATTTTTATTATTGAAACATGAATCTAGAATAATGGTTCAGGCTTTATATAAACATTATATAGAAGACCCTCCAAAAATGTGTTTTCTATGATACTATATAAGAAGAATGGCTTTCTTTAAAAGAAAAACAAAAGCTAGAACAATGAATTGGAAAACTATAAACCACTATTATGAAGTACTTATTTGTACACCAACTAGTACAATAAAAATATAATAAAAAATAGCTCAATGTTATATAATCTGTTGCTAAATTTAATAGTAACTATTAACATTAAGATTGAGTTAGTTGACCTTTTTTGCTTTCAGAAGTTGATGAAAGACATTCTTTTTGACTGTAAATTTGGGCCACATGAAGGAACATCACTTCAGTTTTTGATCCCTTCTGTAATGCAGTCTGATCCTCATTGGTCAAATTTTCAAATCCTTTACGAAAAGATCACATAATTGTTTGAAATAAATAATGAAGAGATAATTTTCAGGTATAGGATTTAACTTTTTTTTTTTTTTTTGCGGTATGCGGGCCTCTCACTGTTCTGGCCTCTCCCGTTGCGGAGGACAGGCTCCGGACGCGCAGGCTCAGCGGCCATGGCTCCCGGGCCCAGTCGCCCCACGGCATGTGGGATCTTCCTGGACCGGGGCATGAACCCGTGTCCCCTGCATCGGCAGGCCGACTCTTAACCACTGCGCCACCAGGGAAGCCCAGGATTTAACATTTTTATATTATTTACTTATGATATGAATCTTAAATGTTCCCTTAGAATAATTATGATTGCACATGGTACTATTTGGGGGCACTTTCATCAGAACCAGATAATAATAATTTCCTATGGCAAGAGCAAATTAAACATAGTTGGTTTAGCCTTGAAGAATTTATTTTCACAGAGAGTTACCTGTGCACGTAACTAGATAGCTAAGTTTTGGCCAACAGTGGCTTCACCTTTTTTTTTTTTTTTTTTGGTATGGTACAGGGAATTTTGTTTCATGTTTTATCTAAAAGACAAAAACAATGTATTTCCTCAAATAAAAATAAAATAAAACATACAATCAATCATAGTTTATCTTAACTCTTAAGTCTTTGAAGTCACTTGAATAATATTTTAAAATATTTATATTTTCATCCAACTGATTGATTAAAGCAAATAAAGTAAACATGTTTTTAAATTTATAAGCAGTTTTGGTAGAAAAATAGAGGGTTTTGTTTTCTTAAAATGCCACCTTCCTTTAAAACAAGGAACTTTTTTAAAATTACGTATTAAATTACTTTAATTTTTTCCAAAGATAAAGTGATTACCTGGGAGTCTCTTGGTGAAATCCATTAACCTCTGTATATGTAGGACAACTGTCTCTGAGAGTCGCAAGAAGATCAGTTCAGGATTTGCATATCCCTGCAGCTAAGCAACAAAAAGAAATAAGATTAATAATTTTTTTCTTTCAAATAACTGTTTAAATTTTAAACTTTTCTGATTATGCTGTTATTTTCTAACATAATTAATTCCAAATTATTTCTTGCCAGTAATGAACACATACAAATCTTTCTGTTTCTTCTAATGGAATTGTATATTTTTGATGAGCAGCCACAATGTTGTTAATGAGCTGATGTTCCTCTTGAGTTAGTTCCATGCTCTCCCGAATCTGTAAGAAAATATAGGGGGAAAACTATAATGCATACCTATTAAACAAGACATCATCATTAAAGAAACAAGAAATTTTTTAAGGAGAGTCTTGCCACTTTTCCAGATCTAGTGGTAGGTGACACAAGCTTGCTGTTTACCCCTTCCTCTTCCACTTTGATGTTAGAGTAAAAATTATTCTTCTGCTTAAAGTTCTTTCGAAGTCTCTTTGATCTGCATTGGATTTCTGTGAGCAAACCTGTGATATTACAAAATTAACATAAAATATTTTTGGTACAACAAATAACATTATAGGATTTGATGAAAATTGTCTTACATTGTACACATATGTGATCATGAACTTGCCTTTTCACAAAGAACCTTTCTTTTTTGGTAAGCATGGACGACAGCAGTTAAATTTACTACATTACTTACTTCTTTTCCTTCCACAACTACCTGTCTACTTAAAACTACACAGTCATCCTAGACATAAATGAAAAATTAATTTTGCATCTCCAAATTATAAATTTAGACCTTTTTATGTTAGAGAAATTTCCACATTAATTATATCTTGGAAGCAACAGAATGTTAATTGGTACATTGAAGGGAAACCACTAATTTAAAACTGTGCTTTTTGTAGTTGAATTATATAACTTTAGGTTAAGTAATATAAAAATACAAGGATTTCCAATTAAGAAGAAAATATGATTATTACCAAAGTTAGAGCAATATAGTATAGAACAGATTTTATGGAAATAATTACCTAGATTGGTAACTGGCTATCCTAATTTAGCAGTTGCTGGAGAAATAGCTTAAATCCAGACAAATATGTTATGTTCAAATATGTTCAAAATAACTTGAAGAACGTAAGTTCCTAGTAAGGTAAGAAAAACTAAAATCCCCCTAAAAAAAACCCACAATGGCACTTACATTCTTCCAACATTCCTACTGCCTTACACTTTTTTAGTCTGCACTCTTGACATTTTCTACGCATGTACATGTCCATTTCACAGTGACCACCATTCTTGCAACTATATACTGCATTTTTGGTGATGCTACGCCGAAAAAACCCTAATAACAAAGGAGAGTTTTTTAAATTTTACTATTATGTATTTTTAGTTACTTGGTTTTTTTTTTTTTTTTTTTTTTTTTTTTTGCGGTACGCGGGCCTCTCACCGCTGTGGCCTCTCCCGCCGCGGAGCACAGGCCCCGGACGCACAGGCTCAGCAGCCACGGCTCACGGGCCCAGCCGCTCCGCGGCACGTGGGATTCTCCCGGACCGGGGCACGAACCCGCATCCCCCGCATCGGCAGGCGGACTCCCAACCACTGCGCCACCAGGGAAGCCCTAGTTACTTGTTTTTAACCTTCATAGTAAAAGTAATCAAGTTAACTAAATTATTTCAATAAAATATTTTTTCCCTCAGTAAGAAGGTTTGGTTTAATATACATTTATCTGGATAATTGTTTTAATCCTCTCCTATTTGATATAGCTTATTCCATGGTTGTTCCTGTCAATAATCTATCTGGAAATTAAACTAAATAACCCAAACACATTAAAACAACTCTCTGTTTTCTATGGTTATAATATAACATCTAAACGCATTTTTAAACTATATTTTACAGAATATCAAGATTCCATGACACATCTCTCAAGGTTCCCTAGAAGGAATATGTGCTCATGTAAAATAAAACTATAAGGAAACCTCTCTTTTTCTCACCTCACATTTCTACCTCAACTCATAAAGGAAGAGATAATTCTTCCAAACTTACTCCTCTGTCCTTCCTTTTCAGCACTTCCCCAGATGAGAACGTATTGCTAATTTATTTAGTCCAAGACAATGAATGGGCCGTTTTGTGTGTGTGTGTGTGTGTGTGTGTGTGTGTGTGTGCATGCTGGGGAGATGTGTGGAGATTCTACATTTTCCTAAATCCATGCATAGCAGTCTCTTCCCATTTCCTGTTTCATTTCCCATTCCTGTGCAATAATCCCTGCTATCTTCCTCTTATTCCATTCCAAGCAGTGAAGTTGATAAAGTTAGTCAATACCCCAATTAGAAGCCTGCCATACTCTTTCTGTAGACACGCTTGAGAGTGGGAGTTTCATGACTTAGATTCAGCAAAGGGAATAGAAAGCTCAGCTTAGGTTTCAGAACTATGCCTCATTCTTCAACTTAGTTTTAACAGCAAGGCCCTGCATTTTAAGAGTAAGCAAATACTGGCCCAGCTATTCTATTCATAAAGCTGGTACCTCCTTTCCCTTAGTCTTCGTTTGGCTATTCTTTGTGTGGGGTGAGTGTGAGATTCTGACAATAAGACTTCACCTTGAACTTGTAGACACGTTTACCTAGTGCTGTATTGATCTAATCATTTCCAGGTTCTGCCCCAATATTTTATTTGTGAATTTAAAAAATGCAGAAGTGTTTCAAAACCTCAAAACTGCATCAAGGACTATTTTACTCCTTACTCCATGCCAATATCAATGATGATCTTCAGGGGTAGACCTCCCATTTGTTTTCAAAAAAGCATTCCCAGGACTTCCCTGGTGGTCCAGTAGTAAAGAATCCGCCTTCCAATGCAGGGGACGCGGGTTCAATCCCTGGTTGGGGAACTAAGATCCCACATGCCGCGGGGCAACTAAGCCCACCCGCCTCAACTAGAGAGGCCGCGTGCCTCGAACTTCAGGGTCCACGTGCTCTGGAGCCCAAGCACCACAACTAGAGAGAGAAAACCCGCATGCCACAACTAGAGAGAAGCCCATGCACCACAACAAATAGCCCACGCAACACACCAAAGTCCTGCATGCCACAGTGGATATCCCGCGTGCCACAACTAAGACCCCACACAGCCAAAAATTTAAAAATAAAATAAAATAAATAAATATTTTTTAAAAAGCATTTCCAACAAATAGACTTAGATAGAAACTTAGAAGTCGTTTAATTGAAATTTCTTCCTAATTCACGAATTACACCAGCCATATGAGATGTAATAGTTAACATTCAGATCTTTTTAAAAGACATTTTTTATTCCAACATCAGATTCACTTAGGAACATGCAAAGTTTCTGCCACATAAATATTTTGAATTTTATATTTAAATGTAAAAGTTTTCATCAAAATTAAAAAGAAAATGAAATCAAAACTTCGTTAAATTCCATTTTCACATCTTTGATCCCACAGATTGATCACTTTAAACATATCAATGGCTCTCCTTGATTTTATGTTTCACATTTTAAAGAGAGTACTCTTACATGCTTAAAATTTCATGACTCTTCAGTGAACACTAGGATTAAAGTTTTAACTTTATCCTTACCTTTGCAACCTTCACAAGTAAGTGCATTGTAATGATATCCTGATGCTTTATCACCACAAACTACACAGAGTTCTTCCTGTCCCTTAATACGAATGGAAGAATGAGTTATTCTGGACCTTTTTATTCCAGGGTAACCATCTTCAGCATCGTGGGCAACCACGTAAGTGGATTTATTTAATTCACAGGAAAGAAGTCCATACTCTCCACCACTGAACTGTGGGTCCAAGCTATAAGTGTTGAAATGACTTTGTAAAGATTGGGACTGTAGAGCTGGAGGAAACTGGACAGTAGAATACTGGCAATAAGGTGATTCTTGAAAATCAATGTCGTACAGCTGATAATTGATTTGTTCTGGCAAAATATCTAGTTTTTTTAACACACACACACACACACAAAAAAAATGGTGAAAGTCAAGTTATTTTTCAAATTTCAAAGAGTTTTACACTCAAAGAACAGAGTTAGTTCAACATGTCCAATACATCCCAGGGACTTGCTGTCCAGCATGAAAGGCAGACAGTAAACTGAATTGCAATGCATGATAAATGCTGCCACCCCAGAAGTATGCAGAGGTTGCTCAGGAGCTGGGAGAAAGGGTTGTTAATGGCTTACATACCAATGCAGTCTATTCCCTTAAGTAGAAATGAATATTTCCCGGAGTTTGAAATGAAAGCTTTTCCCCAGCTTCTGTATTTTCTTTGTTGTGAATAAAATTGTTTTCAGTGCAATCATATCAGTAAAGTGATGAATTAATAAATTATCCCACCCCCCCACCAAAAAAATCAAACTAAAATACAATTACACCAGTTATCTGGTTATTTCAAGCAAAAAATAAATTCTTTAAACTCCCCATTTAATATACCTTAACACTCTCCTTCGCCATTTGTAGACCTGATTTAAATTACTAGTTTCTTTTCTGTTTTATTGTCTAGCAATTCAATTATCTGGTGATAAACTTACCTACCCCGGAGGGTGACTGTAAGAATGAAATAAAATGTGAAATGCAAAAAGCATGTATAAAATACAAAATGATACTTAATGGGTATCTTTATTGTTATTATCAGAAGCTACAAAACACCAACTTACTTTCTGTTTTCAGGAGGATTACTGAAATCAATCCAGAAAATTGGCTCCAAAGAGACCCAGGAATACTTAGTTGCTCTATGTCTGTATCTAGTAATATTTGTACTTTTCCTGGTGCTGAATCCCAAAATGATTAGACTTACTCTTACCCTCAAAATTCTACCCCCAAGATTGGTAAACAGTATAATTTCTATTAATTCATATAAATTATTTGCAATCTGATAGCATCCAATCCAATGCAAAGTGTTGAATAAATACCAATAACAGCCTGATATAAGAAGAAAAGTTATCAGTAAAAACAATGTAACTTTTATTTAAAGAAGAGGGCCCTTCTTGGCTGAGTATCAAAAGACTGCAGAATACTGGCTGATGTTCCATTGGCATGGAAATCAGAGTTCAAAGTATAATATAAAAGAAAACTGCATTTAAATTTCAATTCATATTATAATCTTGGTCTTTTTGGAGAAAAATCCTATTGTCTCTTGCACTCTGTTTTCTATTTCTTTCCCTTTGATAAAAATCTTATATTAAGATTAAAGTTTCAGGAACATTGAATAACTACTCTGAACTACATTTTCTAAATTGCATGTGAACTAGCTTCAGCTAACCCCTAAAAATAACTTATAATTTGCATGCTAATTCTATTTTTAAAAATTGAATACAATTTTAGACTACTGTGCTTTTTCTTCTTTACATTTGATTCTGGCTTACAGCATTTTGGTATTTCTGATTTTTGAAAGTAATTATATTCTCTGGTAGGGAGTAATTGAAAGTCTTTGGTTCATTTGTTAATTTCTTTTTTTAAAAAAAAACCCTCTGATTAACCATAATTCCCGCCAAAAAAAAAAGTTTTATTAACTATTATACTGTAGCTTTTTTGTTACACACCATAGTACTGCACTGGTTCAGCAAGACAATAACCATCAGATGCAGTGACGTAAGTATTGGCCATTCTCTGGTCCAATTTTCACTTCTTCATTAGTAGATGCTAAAATAGAACCTGAAGGAAACAAAAATTTTGTAGACTTTTTGAAAGTATGATTATCAAATCAGTATGATTTTATAAAAGTATAATACTGTTTTTGAAAAATAAAGAATTTAGCAGACTTCATACAAGACATTTATATTTACACTTTAACTGGAAGAATATTGATTTTTCATATCTCTACATACCAGATTATTTAATTCAGACAACTTCTTATTGCTCAGTTCTTTAAAATAACTTAAATCTCGGTAATAATCATTATGGCTCTTGAAAGGGTACCAAGCTTTGGAGTTAGACTTCATACACTGCATTTACCACTTATTTATGGGTCATTTTTACACCTCCCTGAACCTTAGTTTCCTCATTTGTAGAAGCGAAAGAATGAAACACACCTAGCCAAGTTATGGGAGAGTTTTATTAATGTGTTTAAAATCCAGCACAGTTCTTGACTTAATAACCGAGTCATATAATTATTATTCTAATAGTTTTGCTAGATCTCAGTGTTCTAAATTTAGATGAATTAGGAAGAAAAATTACACTTTTTCATGAAGGAAATTAAAGAGTAGGAAAAGAATGGCTTTCATAGCACTTTATTTAATCTTCTAAGTCCTTTGTAAATATTTTTCATAGCACTGTGATATGCTAAGCATTAAAACATTAATTTTGGTTCTGCGTGACTAATGAAAATAGTTTTTTGATTACTGAAAAAGTGTTTTATTTTTAATAGTAAAGACTAAAAATCATAAGCTATTATGAGGGAAAATTATTCAAAATCTAAGACGATCCCTTATGGGAAAAAAACTATTTTTGTTATTTCCTAGGTAGGAACTCCAAAAATAATGCATCTTTGAATAGACTTAAACAGGAAATCACAGTTAAAGAAATTGGAAATTATTAAAAGGAAATAAAGGTCACTCTAGAGTCCATGATATTTTATAGCTTTATCCTCTCTATTCGAAGGTAAAGACTGTTTTCACCTTTTAAAAGAACCGAAAAAGAAGAAAATGGGTTTTAAAACATACCAAAAGATATACATGACAAACTTCTGAGATTATATTGAAAAATCTTTTACTTAGATTTATTTCTCATGTGATGAGGTCATGGCAAAATTTCTACATTCGTGAAGATGATTAAAATAGTAGTATCTCTGAAATTTGTCTCCTGTATTATTTAATAGGCTCTAGGTTCCTTTAAAAGTGCTTAAATCTCCCACTCTCACTGAAGAAGTGCTGAATGGAACAGATGAAGCAAAAGTGGTGCTCCCAAATAAGCGCACTTTCAAATAGAAGTTTTCCTTGAAAAGTAAGGACTAAAATCAATAGGATCAGTATTACAACAGGTTAATTGGCTCTCCATATGAAAAGAATTCTAAGTGCTATCAGTTTAATTTGTGCCATACTCTTTAGCAATAATCCTGTTTAGTTTTTTCCAAACTTCTCTTTTGAGTCTCAATTTGATTTTAGAAAATTCCAAATGAATGTGAAAACTCACCCTTCCTTTAAAATTCCTGCTTTTAGCATTAGGCTTCATATAATATTAAATAAATATCTGAAAATTAAAAAGTATTTGGTATTCCTTTTTCTTGCTAAGCAAGACTTCATTTAAGAAATAATATAGAAAAAATTAGAGGTAGCACATTAAAACAAAACTGGTAATATCCTGGCAAATACATACAGAAGTATCTTATAACCATGCTGCTGTCAGGGTTCATATCATAAATAACAATGTTCTCAAACCAAGTCCTTCCAATACTGATAAATAAATGCCCCAAAATATTGTCTAAAGCAGAAATGTCTTTATCAGTTTATGGACTACAGGCATACCTCAGAGATACTGCGGGATTGATTCCAGACCACCAAAATTAAGCAAATATCACAATAAAGCAAGTCACATACATTTTTTTATTTCCCAGTGCATATTAAAAGTTATGTTTATTTTATCCTGTAGTCTACTAAACATGCAATAGCATTATGTCTTTTAAAAAAATACCTTGTTAAAAATACTTTATTGCTAAAAAAAAGTAATCATTATCTGAGCCTTTAGCAAGTCATAATCTTTTTGCTGGTGGAGGGTCTTGCCTCAGTGTTGTTGGCTGCTGACTGATCAGGGCGGTGGCTGCTGAAGATGAAGTTATGAAACTATGAAGTTTCCCTCATCAATTGACTCTTCCTTTCATGAACAATTTCTCTGTAGCATGCACTGCTGTTTCATAGCAGTTTACCCACAGTAGAACTTCTTTCAAAATTGAAATCAGTCTTTCAAACCCTGCCTGTGCTTTGTCAACTAAGTTTATTTAATATTCTAAATCCTTTGTTGTCATTTCAACAACCTTCATAGCATCTTCACCAGGGATAGATTCCATCTCAAGAAACCACTTTCTTTTCTCATCCATAAGAAGCAACTCCTCATCCATTCACATTTTATCATGAGATTGCAGCAATTCAGTCACATATTCACGCTTGACTTCTAATTCTAATTCTCTTGCTATTTTCACCACAGCTGCAGTTACTTCCTCCACTGAAGTCTTGAACCCCTCAAAGTCATCTATAAGGGTTGGGATCAACTTCTTCCAAACTCCTGTTAATGCTGATATTTTTACCTCTTCCTATGAATCACGAATGTTCTTTTTTTTTTTTAAGGTGTGTGTGTGTGTCTTTTTGTTTTTGGCCTCAACGCATAGCATGTGGGATCTCTGTTCCCCAAGTAGGGATCGAACCTGTGCCCCCTGCAGTGGAAGAGTGGAGTTTTAACCACTGGACAGCTAGGGAAATCCCTGAATGTTCTTAATCGCATCTAAAATGGTGAATCCTTACCAGAAGATTTTCAAGTTACTTGGTCCAGATCCATCAGAGGAATCACTAGCTGCAGCAGCTATAGCCTTACAAAATATATTTCTTAAATAATAAGACTTGAAAGTCAAAAGCCATGGGCTGTAGAATGGATGTTGTGTTAGCAGGCATAAAAACAACATTAAACTTACTATACATCTCCATTAGAACACTTGGGTGACCAGGTGCATTGTCAATGAGTGGTAATATTTTTAAAAGAATCTTTTTTTCTGAGCAGTACGTTTCAACAATGGATTTAAAATATTCAGTAAACCACGTTGTAAACAGATGTGCTGTCATCCAGACTTTGTTTTTCCATTTATAGAGCACGGGCAGAGTAGATTTAGCATAATTCTTTAGGGCCCTAGGATTTTCGGAATAGTAACTGAACATTGGCTACAACTTCCACTCACCAGCTGTATTAGCCCCTAACAGGAGAGTCAGTCTTTCCTTTGAAGCTTTGAAGCCAGGCATTGACTTCTCCTCTCTAGCTATGGAAGTCCTAGACGGCATTTTCTTCCAGTGTAAGGTTATTTCATCTACATCTATTGTTTAGTGTAGCCACCTTCATTCATTACTTACATACATCATCTGGATAACATGCTGCAGCTTCTTCATCAGCACTTGCTGCTTCACCTTGCACTTTTACATTATGGAGATGGCTTCTTTCCTTAAACATCATTAACCCACCTCTGCTAGCTTCAAACTTTTCTCCTGAAGCTTCCTCATCAATCTCAGCCTTCATAGAAATGAAGAGAGTTAGGGCCTTGCTCTGGATTAGGCTTTGGCTTGAAGGAATGTTGTGGCTGGTTTGATCTCCCATCCAGACCACTAAAACTTTCTCCATATCAGCAATAGGACTGTTCCATTTTCTTATCATTTTTGTGTTCACTGGGGAATCACCTTTAATTTCCTTCAAGAACATTTCCTTTGCACTCACAAGTTGGCTAACTGTTTGGCATAAGAGGCCTAGCTTTCGACCTATCACAGCTTTTAACATGCCTTCCTCACTACGCATAATCATTTCTAGCTTTTGATTTAAAGTGAGAGACATGAGACTCTTCCTTTCACTTGAGCACTTAGAGGTCATTGTAGGGTTATTCAGTGGCCTAATTTCAATATAGTTGTGCCTCAGAGAATAGGGAGGCCTAAGGAGAAGGGGAGAGATGGGAACCAGGCAGTTAGTGAAGCAGTCAGAACACGCAGCATTTATCGATTAAGTTCACTTTACATGGGTGTGAGTTCATGGTGCCCCAAAACAATTACAATGGTAACATCAGAAATCAATGATCACAGATTACCATAACAAATATAATAATAATGAAAATGTTTGAAATATTAAGAAAATTACCAAAATGTGACACAGAGACACAAAGTGAGCTAACTGCTGTTGGAAAAAATGGTGCCACTAGACTTGCTCAGTGTAGGGTCGCCACAAAACTTCAATTGGTAAAAAACCCAATATCTGCAAAGCGCAGCAAAGCAAAGTGCAGTAAAACGAGGTATGCTTGTAGTTATAATCCAGGGCACATATGGGACACAAACATAAATAGGCCATTGATTAAAATATGCCTTTTAAAATATGAAATATTTCTCTCTTTTATATGCTTATAGTAATAGTTGCATTATTTTCTACATAAAATGTCCACTAATTAAATTTTTCTTCAGACTTCTAAATGTCTAACAGAAGTATTATAATATGTATGCATGGTAAAACAAAATTTTCAGAAATAATATGCTTATAAAATTAGTTTAAAAACAAATTATTAATAACATAGAGAGAGGTATGTAATCAAAAACTTCCTATCCTATTAAAGAGAAAAATTACAGTGGTCTTGGAATGATTCTGTTTCATTACCTTCCTAGTAAATATTTATTTAAAGAGAAAATAACTTAGTTAAGAGAGGAGATTTTGTCAAGAGGATCAATTTGGCCTGCGTAAAGTCTATTTTTTTCTTTAACAAATATAACTTTATCAAAAACCATATTTTTCACAGATTATGATAGCTATTTTACTGAAAAGATGTGTAATTGCACAAATAAATTTGCATCTCCTCTGCTTTAACCATAAATTGTTCTTGGTAAATCTTCATGTCTAAAACCTTAACAGGAAAAACATATTGATTACTGAGAACTATA